AATTCACTTTCCTGCTGTCCATTTGTAAACTCAGTATCTTCCAGACATTCATACTTTCAACAACATATTTAAATTTGAACACACAACTCTTGTCAAGGCTGTCTTGAGAGTGGTGTTTTGTTTATAGAGACTGTTTAAGTGACAAGCCCAAGAGGAGTATAAGAATTTCCAACCTACAAACAAGCCGGAGGCAGGCTTGTCAGGGGAATCGGACACTGTTTTTAGTTGTATTTGGGTGAAAATATGAATCTTTGGAACATACTGAGCTTACAAATGGACAGAAGTGCTTTAAGCTGCAGGACTGGTTTGAGACGTTTTTATTAAGGTAAATCAGTTGTACCCATCATGAGTTCAAGCTGATCTGCCATGCTTCGTCATGGACAAACTTTTGTAACCGATATTAAAAAGATTCTGGATTATCAGATACAATGGGTGGAGTATGACTTTAAGAGATATCTGGCTTTTACATTTGTAGGCCATGTCTGTGCGTTAATTCTTCTAAGATAATCATATTCCCACAAAAGGGCACTAACACCCAGAGGAAGTGTTCTATTGAAACCGTACAGAGAGGGAGAGTAACACACAGAGAGGGTAATACATAGAGAGACAGAGAAAGAGAGCCCTCCATGCATGCTGGCTCCTGTTCTTAATTATAGTAAAGTACTAAAGTGCTCATTCATTTCAGCAGGGTGGGGCAGTGGCCTGTGACAAAAAAAAGAAGAAACATTTATATAATTTTCACCTCAATTTATTCAAGTGTGCGGCACAAGGGATGAGGACACACAGCTATGCATACAAAAACAAGTGTGCACACATACACACACACACACACACACTGGTAGTCACACTAATAAGAACTGTACACACACACACACACATAAACACAGAGAAAATTTAACTTCCCTCAGCTTAATTCCATCCCAGATGTTCTTGTGGTTGACAGAGGGGGGAGGGAAAAATGGCTATACCACATTTTCAAAAACACACACCCATATTAAATGTTTTCAGTTAAACAGAAAGAGAGAGAAGAGAAGAGAAGAGAAGAAACAACACAAGCACTTTCCTCCAGTTGATTTATGTGATTCTATTACATTAAACATTCTTTCCCCTGAGCAGGCTCAGCTCCCTAGCAACCATCGCTCGCAGCCCTAATGTGTCTGGCACAGGGCCAGGGAAAGCTGCCTGCCTTATTGATTGCCAGATTGAAAAGTTTGCATTTAATAGGTCCTGTAATACATGAAGGAATTATTCAGAGGGGCTCCTTGTCAAAACCCCAAATTGGTTCTTTTGACTATCAAAAAACAACAGGGGCCTCGTTACAAATGAGCTATCAGAAAGCTCCAAAGGGCCCCTTTTTTTTGTGCCGGAGATGAAATTATGGTAGTTTTGGCCCCTCTGAATGATCAGAGTTATGATGAAGTGAAGGTGAAACCACGATTACTATGAGGTTAGAGGCCACATTGCCACTTAAGATGAGGAAGACAACTTTGTGCCATGTTGATCCCCTTTTGTGTAATGATAGATTGGCCCTAAACACTGTTCGCTGTCTGGTCCCCGGCTGCATCCTGACTAATGAAAGACTACTGCTGGGTTTTGGGGGTCAATCCACTTACGGCGCAGTCAATTCTGAGAGTAAAAACAAGCTGCTCTGCAAGAACCCAAAATGTGCAAATACCACGGGGAGCAAATTTAATCAACTATCTTTGGTTGCAGAAATACAGCTGCCTTTTGACTACATAAACAAGTGAAACCCTCTCTCCATGTCTCTCTCTCTCTCTCCTCAAACAAGCCTAAAAGCTTTTACACCCAGGTGATGATACTCTATCTGCTATGACGACCACTTTCATTTGTCACATAGCTCTGTCCGACACAAACTCAATTGAACAGCTGTGATCAGAGATCTCAGAGATTGTCACTGACAGAGAGAAAGAGGGATACATAGAGAGTTTCCTCGGCTCAGCCTGTAGTAGACAGTATTTCACATATCTTCTCTCCTGCAGAATGAAATGGATGACATGTTTGGCTTTAAATGTATCTTTAATGGGACAGCAAGTTCCCATTTTAGTGATTTCTGTGAGAAGGTTAGAGCAAAGGAGGGAGAGGGAGAGGGGGGTAAAACATCTTATCAGGAGATTGGGAATTGGGTCAGGCAAGGAATTACATGCCATTCTAGATCAAAGTTGCCGTGTGTATTTCCTCAAAGAAGGGCCCCTCATTATCAACTCAGACTTCTTTCTCAGGGCGTATACTGTGTAAAAGGAAACATGATTTAATATGTTTTCAGTACAAGAATGAAGCAAAAAAAAGACAGAGCAGGAGGGGGAAAAAGGAATAAGACTAGAGGCTATTTGGGACAAGCATGTTTCCCAATGGTAAAACTGTAATGAGAAAGAGAAAGGTGGGGGTGTTTATTGAAGATGTTTCGGGGGGTTGTCATTCAGCCTGGCTCCATTGTGAATTCCTGTCATTATATAAGAACCTCTCTTTCTCCCTCTCTCTCCCTCTATCATCAGATCTGTACGGAGGAGGAAGGTTTTAAATAAACAGCCCGTTGAGCTAAGCCAACTGGAACCCTTTTCAATAATTACATCCAGCACAATACTCAATTTACATTGCATTTATTTAGCTGGAGGACTTGACAATGAGGCAAAGAAAAGAGTGACATTAGAAGCGGATGATAACAACTAGAGCGGTGCTCTCCCCAAGGGGAGACGTTTTAGTCTGTGGCATAGAGGGAGACTTTACAGATAGCAATATGTCATTAAAAACCAGTGCCATCTGTTCAGATTTCTTGTTTATGTCTTTGGTATAAAGCGTATTGAAGATACAAAAGCAAATCCCAAAGATGCAAACTATAAGATTTTCTCTTGCATATTTTGGCGCAATTAGTTGTGATTGCACATTCTAACAGCACCACAAAAAATAAAACACTAACACCACTAACAATTGTTTTCCCTCCACAAGCCGTAATGATCTCCGTTTGAAGTTCCCTAGCCCGGTCCTGCAAAAACTGTTTTCACAAGACTGCTGTGTTATTCATGTGACATACACAGTATCTGGCTAAACAAGCAGGTAATTTCTGATAAACTGCTACCAGCTTGGCTTCAAACTCATTCATTCCAGATTACAGAACACGACCTCTGATGTGGCAAACCTCCGCTTTACCAACAGAGCTGTAATCACTGTAATGCAGCACATACAGTGTGTGTAGCTGCTTGTCTCACATTGCACAGGAGAGATAAGAACTTCAATGGAGGAAATCTACTAGCTCCGATAATAAGTTTATGTTCACTGGTCAGTCATGCCAAAAAATGCTTTTTATTTCTTGCTCTATTATTGGTGTATTGTTATTTCAGAACCACTCGCAATGAAACAAGTCCAACATGAGTTGAACGTGACAGTGGGAGATATTTTTGTTTATGCGCTTCTTTTTGTTTATTTTATGAAACCCATCCATGGACTGTTGTGTATTTTGTATACAGAAGAATAACACAGTGAGAAGAGACATGAAATGAAAACATGAATCATGGAAATTATCTGGCTAAGGTTTCTGTTGTCTACGAAGGCATTGTGATGGCTGGCAATATGTGTGTCAGAAGACCAAGGCTATAAATGATCAAAAACGCTACTGGAATCAATTTGCTCCTCATGAAAGCCAAAAACTGAAATATTAGATTAGTTTCCTGAATATGTATCGCATTGTATCTACACAGCTGTTCTTTCTCACATTCAATAATCTTAAATCTTTAGCCAGATAAATTAAAGTTACACTTACTACACTGGAACATAGTGATTCTGTGACTCAGCTATTGTAAACTTTGGATATTATCCTCTGACAATCCAAATGAAACAACAGCTTTCCATAAGTTATGGCTGAGGGGAAAATCATGGGAAAAAACAAGACTGGCTGAATGCCTCTCATTTTGCCAAGTGCTCCTCAGGCCAGTACATAACAAGGAAATGGACTGACAGGTTGAGAAAGAGGACAGAGAGGCATCAATGATCTATTGTTTGAAGCCAAGGCACTCCTTCCAACTCCTCTGGCAGTCAATATATCAAAGAAACCAAAATATATTACACCATCTGCACAGAGATATTTTACAAATACAAATGACGTCATTTGTATTTCTTTGGCTTAATAAAAGCATTAAGAGCGGTTATGTACCAAAGCAAGTATGTGTGATCATGCAGTCTGCATACACACACACACACACACACACACACACACACACACACACACACCAAAGGTCTGGAATCTATCAAAGCCCCCATTGCAATTACCTTTCAATGCGGGTAAAATGCATTACCTCTGTGCTGCGAAATGAACACTATGTTATTCCTACAAGACTAGAAGTCTATCTTCCATACAGTGTACTACAGTATATAACCTGCAGCCTGGCTCTGTGACCCTCTTGCATCGGTTCTGCTTTACAGATTATGACAGATATTAAGTGGATGTTGAGAGTTGATCCGAAATCAGCAGTGAGAGTTTTTTTTTACCCTGGCACAGGTCTGACTGACAGTGTTTTTCCAACGCTATAATACTAAGGTAGTATTAAATGGGTATTTAATGTGAGGGTTCATTTGTTCACACATCCTCATGTACTGCAGAATTCAAGTTATTATTAATGTGTTATTAAATCCTGAAACCCCAAAGCCTGAAAAAAGTGAGCCATGACTTAAGTTTGATGAGACAGAACTGGATCTTTCACACTCACATTAAACTGGATCGTCTGAATGAACTGTACAGACAGTAACAACAACAGAAAATCTCCCTGTGACTAGTCACCAGTATCAGTGCATCTTTTGTTTATTTTTTGACGTCAGTGTCAAATGAACTGGTTCTGCACTTTCTAGATTAACTTGTCCAAGATAATGCAATAATCGGAATCATGTTCATGTGCCTTTTTCAGAAATACTTCAGCCCATGCCGTTCATATTCAGTGGTGGAAGAAGCATTCAGTTCCTTAATTTCAGTTCAATCAGGAGAGACTTCATTCTGAGTGAACAAATATTTTTATTGCCATGTGCACATTAAAGTGGAGAATTGTCAGAGTCTTTGGCAATTAGACCCCACTGACATCATCATATTTTAAGGTGGTGATGAAGCCGTTGTGGTGGTGGTGGTGCTGATGGGATGAAGAGAATTGATTGACTGATTAAATACTCGGGCCTACTCAGCAGAAAAACATGCTCCTAGTATAATCATATATTACTGGATTAATAATACTGATGTATTAATGTATAAGTAGCATTGAATTGGAGATAATTTATACAAATTCTGTTGGGTAGAGTAATATGTAAAAATGTATCATATTTGATAAAGTGTGTTTTGTATGTAAAATCATAATCTGTGAAGCAAGTAAAACTGTCAGATAATGGTGAAAGTGCATTTTTTCCTACAGAATTGCAGGGAAGTAGAAATATGAAGTAGCATAAAATACTAAAGTACAAGTACCTCTAATCTGCACATTCCGCCACTGTTCATATTCTCTTCACGATGCTATGTCCCTGTGCGTTCTTCTTGCTGTTGATTTGAACTTGAAGTCCTTTTGATATGCACAACAGGGCGTCCTGAAGAGGACAGTTTTACATGCATTCATAAAGCAGATGGACTGGCATGCTCATAAAATATGCAGAGTTATTAATTGTACAATCTGTGATGTCTAGAATGCCTACCGAGCAGCACAGAATCATGCACATCTATCTATCTGAAGGGCAGAACATGAAACTGCCAGGGAAGAAATAAACATAACAAGGAGACATGTACAAAAGGCAGTTATGCACTGAAATATTAATGTTGCTGTAATACTCAAAATGAGCATCATTGTGACAAAGACGAATATAGAAATGTATCCAGAAAGACTGCTGGTTTGGTAACACTGAAGTGTGACTCAGAGTATAACTGGAACTGGCAGTGAGTTTTGTTTAAGAAAAGAAAGCAAATGTTCCTCAATCAACACGCAATCTCAGATAAAACCTCCTGATCCGTGTGATTTTAAGGCTATTCATAACAAAAGAGTCATAACAATAATTAAATACAAATAAATCTATCAGGAAGAGCTAGTGTGCTATGAAAGAACCCTCACTCCCTTTGTGTCTATTTAAGATGCCTGGCAGAGGTCACATCAATAGCATCTCTGTTGTTCCAGACCTGACTAATGGAGAAAAGAGAGACACAACTGTTGTAATGGGAGAGACGGAGTTCTTCATTTCCTCTGAGGCCATTCTCATTGTTTAACCATCCACCAGCCTTCAGCCCCCTCCCTCGCACAAGAAGGAAAACACATTATGTGACATTCCAGAAATAAAATAACACAAATTATTAATGAATATAGCTATCCAAAGAGGCTGAATTTGATTACGGTGCAAGCCATAACAGGATATGTCTTGGGTGTTGGGTGGTCTCTCTCTCTCTCTCTCTCTCTCTCTCTCTCTCTCTCTCTCTCTCTGTCTCACAGTGTGTCTTTCTCTCTCTTTCTCCCATTCAAATTCGAGGCATGCTCAAACATCTAATAGATTTTTCCACCCCGGCACACAATTTACTGCTTACAGATTTAGAATTCTCTGGCTTCCGGCCAGTCAGAAGTGAATTAATGATATGAGCACATCAGTGAGGAAAAACAGCTTGTGCTTCTCTCTCCTACAGGTCTGAGCATAATGAAGAAGATACTGCCATAACCCCCCCACCCCCACCCCCACCTCCCCACTTCCCACCACCACCAAAAAAAAAGAAACCATACCAGAGAAGCAGAGAAAGAGACGAGGGGGGCGAGAAAGGCACATAATCAATACAAACACTCCATTAAATTACTTCAAAAGGGATTTTGGACAGTTTGTAGAATTAGTTCTGCCGAAAAAAGCAGAAGGGGAAGCAAATATGTTTGAGAGGCGGAAAGCAAACAAGTGCAAACGATACAATCTGCCACATATTCTGAATGGAGGAGTACAGTGTGGTGTGTCTTACAGAAGCATTGCATTCTTTTTTCTGTCAGAGTCACAACATACCATTACTCTTGTAACACCACAACACATTCTCCTTATCTTTTCCAAGAAACCGCTTACTCCTTCCCACGTTGTAGTCGAAACATAAAACATTTTCATGTGTGATAGTGACTCAAAGTCCCAAACATTGTTCTGTATTGTCACCAAGACAAATCAACCATGAGAAGACAGCATCTGTCTGTTTCCTTATCACCAGTTCCTACCCGCATAAACATTCAGTGACGCTCTGAACAGTCTCTGAAAGGGGGACAGAATCTACTCTCTACATCAAATTGAAATGTTCCGACTGAAATATCGTCGGGATATCAACTCGGGTATATGTGCCAAGCTTGGCATAAAGATCAGACGTTGCATCAGAGGGAAATACAGTGATTCCATCCCCGAGCGGGCAAGGCAGTAAAGAATCTTGAAATGCAGTGATATTGCTCCGCGTCTCACTGGCCTACTGCACCTTCCAGCTTAATCAATGTATGTTTAGCTCTGATCACATAGCATGATGTATTAGTGTGTTACAACAGACTACACACTAATTCAAAGCAGGATTTGAGTATAAAGTGTGTTCACACTGGAAAAGTGACCAAATTAAATATACTCAAAGGCCAGAATTTAGTATTTAAAAGCTGGATTTCTGTGTGTGTTGTTAATGTACACACAACGCACAAAGGAAATTGAGGAGCTGCTCACAGCTGAAAACATTTTTAATTATTAGGCAATTTTGCAGCTCAGTTGGTAGAGAAGGTCGGCCATTTATCGCAGGGTTGGTTGCAAGACACAGTACATACAACCTGCTCGTGATGTGGAAATAAATATAAGTAGCTCTGGACAAAAGCACCTGCTAAATGAATGCAATGTACTAAACCTAAAATATGTAACATGCACAGGGATAAAGGTCATTTATTATGGATTATAGAAAAAAAAATTAGAATTAAAAATCCATAATGTCATTCTTTTTTTGCACTTTGATGAAACTCTATCATGTCACATTTTACTCTGGACATTGATGGAGAAATTTTTATTTGATGAATTTTTAATATGCAGCACTCTTAAACAAATATTTGTCAGAGGTCCTAAACCCAATAACATCATTCTTGTAATTTTGTGGCGCTTTAAGGTGCTGCAGCACAAAAATAATACAAAAAGTCCAGGGGAGAGGTGACTGGTTAATACACTGTATATTTTTTTCCGCTTCCATGGTTACATTTTCCTGTCAGGATGTTTTCTCATGATCCTTCAGTGCTAAGGGGTGAACCAGCTACAGATAATATTATAGGTGAGGGCAGGAGTCAGGAACACCATATATGTTCTTTGAATGCAGGAGTCAAACTCTGACCTTTTGAAACTATAATCTTCCACAAAACCTCAACTCACAATCTGTGCTCTGGTTTCCGCACTGAAGGCTCGATCTGAAGGACAAGACAGTAAACCTATTAAGCTATTTTGCGAAAAAGAGCCATCCTTTGTGTTCTCTTTTTGTTTTGTTTTGTTTTTGTTTTTGTTTTTTTTCCTTCTACGGCTCTCTGTTTATCCCAGCACAAGCCAACAAACTGTATCAGCAGATACAGCTCTCCAACACTCGGCCTCCTAGTATATGACCAGAAACCAATTTCGGCAGGCAGCAATGAAAAAAAAAATGAAAAAAGAATCAGGCCAGTTCTCCGGGGAGAGATAGAGGGGCAGAATGTAAACTTCCCTGGCAAGCCATCCCTAGTGGATTGAACTGTAAAAAGAAGCTCTAATGCTCACTTCAATACAAGATAAACTGAGCGGACAGTTTGCATTACCTGATTAAGTGAGCTGCATTACAGATTATGTAAGGACTCTTCCTGCACTCGTAGAAATACAGTGGGTACGGAAAGTATTCAGACCCCTTTAAATTTTTCACTCTTTGTTTCATTGCAGCCATTTTCCAAAAATCAAAAAAGTTCATTTTATTTCTCAGTAATGTACACTCAGCACCCCATCTTGACAGAAAAAAACAGAAATGTAGAAATCTTTGCAAATTTATTAAAAAAGAAAAACTGAAATATCACATGGTCATAAGTATTCAGACCCTTTGCCGTGAAACTCATATTTAACTCAGGTGCTGTCTATTTCTTCTGATCATCCTTGAGATGGTTCTACACCTTCATTTGAGTCCAGCTGTGTTTGATTATACTGATTGGACTTGATTAGGAAAGCCACACACCTGTCTATATAAGACCATACAGCTCACAGTGCATGTCAGAGCAAATGAGAATCATGAGGTCAAAGGAACTGCCTGAAGAGCTCAGAGACAGAATTGTGGCAAGGCACAGATCTGGCCAAGGTTACAAAAAAATTTCTGCTGCACTTAAGGTTCCTAAGAGCACAGCGGCCTCCATAATCCTCAAATGGAAGACGTTTGGGACGACCAGAACCCTTCCTAGAGCTGGCCGTCCGGCCAAACTGAGCTATCGGGGGAGAAGAGCCTTGGTGAAAGAGGTAAAGAAGAACCCAAAGGTCACTGTGGCTGAGCTCCAGAGATGCAGTCGGGAGATGGGAGAAAGTTGTAGTAAGTCAACCATCACTGCAGCAATCCACCAGTCGGGGCTTTATGGCAGAGCGGCCCGACGGAAGCCTCTCCTCAGTGCAAGACACATGAAAGCCCGCATGGAGTTTGCTAAAAAACACCTGAAGGACTCCAAGATGGTGATAAATAAGATCCTCTGGTCTGATGAGACCAAGATAGAACTTTTTGGCCTTAATTCTAAGCGGTATGTGTGGAGAAAACCAGGCACTGCTCATCACCTGTCCAATACAGTCTCAACAGTGAAGCATGGTGGTGGCAGCATCATGCTGTGGGGGTGTTTTTCAGCTGCAGGGACAGGACGACTGGTTGCAATCGAGGGAAAGATGAATGCGGCCAAGTACAGGGATATCCTGGACGAAAACCTTTTCCAGAGTGCTCTGGACCTCAGACTGGGCCGAAGGTTTACCTTCCAACAAGACAATGAAACTAAGCACACCGCTAAAATAACGAAGGAGTGGCTTCACAACAACTCCGTGGCTGTTCTTGAATGGCCCAGCCAGAGCCCTGACTTAAACCCAATTGAGCATCTCTGGAGAGACCAGAAAATGGCTGTCCACCAACGTTTACCATCCAACCTGACAGAACTGGAGAGGATCTGCAAGGAGGAATGGCAGAGGATACCCAAATCCAGATGTGAAAAACTTGTTGCATCTTTCCCAAAACGACTCATGGCTGTATTAGATCAAAGGGTGCTTCTACTAAATACTGAGCAAAGGGTCTGAATACTTATGACCATGTGATATTTCAGTTTTTCTTTTTTAATAAATTTGCAAAAATTTCTACATTTCTGTTTTTTTCTGTCAAGATGGGGTGCTGAGTGTACATTACTGAGAAATAAAATGAACTTTTTTGATTTTTGGAAAATGGCTGCAATGAAACAAAGAGTGAAAAATTTAAAGGGGTCTGAATACTTTCCGTACCCACTGTATGTTATTACTGTCCTCTTGGCTTGGAATACTGAATGTGGGAAACGTGTAATTCAACAAACTTTATACAGTATGTTTTATACAGTATGTTTAACGTAATTAAATGTAAGACTGATTGCTTTAGAATGTTTAATACTTACTTCTTTCTCAGTTAGTTGGGAAGAAATGCTCCTCTCATGTCTGTTCAGTAAATATGAAGCTTCTGCCTGCAGCCGGTTAGCTTAGCTTAGTAC